ACGGTTCAGGGTTTAGGGCTTAGGGTTTCAAGCCCTACGCCTCAAAAGGCATACAACCCTAAACCCTGTACACGCCTAAATCCCAAGCTCTAGACCCCAAACCCTCCGAACCTAAAGAAATGCACCCGAAGTCCAAGAGGCATCCAGTATGTCGTGCACCTGCAACTTCCGAACCCTGCGGGACGCTCCGCTTAGAGGGCTTCATGGGCTTCATATTTGGGGTTTGGGGTTTAGGGTTTAAGGTTTAACGTGTAGGGCCTTGTAGGGTTTAGGGTTTAGGGTTTAGGGTTTGGGGTTTAGGGTTTAAAGTGTAGGGCCTTGTAGGGTTGAGGGGGGCTTTGGGGGATTCAGGCGGGGGGGGGGGGGGGGGGGGGCTTCGAGGGTCTTGAAGGGTTTTGGGGGGTTCAGGGCGTGTAGGGTGAAGAGTTTTGGGAGGCTGTTGTCTCAAACGACCCTTTTTAACATCACAAATCCCCTTAAAATGCCATGGTTTGGGATTTTCAACAGGTTGCAGGGTTGGGGTTTTCAACAGGTTGCAGGGTCGCGCTTAACGGGTTTGGGTTTAATTAGGGCATACGGTTTTGGGCTTAGGGTTAGGTCTTTGTGCATAAGGGGTTTGGGGTTTAGGGTTTAGGGCATGAGTGTTTAAGGCCTTACCTTGTAGATGAAGGTAATTGATTCCTACACCGGTCGCCTTACGAGATAAGCAGTGATCTGCCGACATGCTAGACTCTAGACGTTTTTTCACCATTTGGTTTCCCTTGAGGATCTGATAGACAAACTTCCCACTCAGTTCGTGCGTGCTTCCGAGGCCGCGTCAACCTGCTGGAGTTGCATATCGCGTTGGGTTTAGGGGTGACGTGGCTTAAGATGTCAGATATACTCAGAGTCGTTGCCAAATGCCGAAGCCCACCCCAGGCTCCAAACACTCAATAATTGATTGAGGGAGGGTTGAGGGTAACCCTAAACCATACACCCCGAACCGAAAACCCTAAAACTCAAACCCAAAGCCCTAAACAAACCTTTATCTCGGTGGTCGGCACAGCTTGCACTGTGAAGGACGGGACTCATCTCAGCAAGATCATCTCGGGTGGCGTGGGGGGTGCGGCACTGCTGGTTGCAGGTGGACGCCTCTGGATTTGTTGTTGTTGAGGATTTGGGGCTTGGGATTTCGGGTTGAGGGTTATACATAGCGTTTATGCAAGATGTCATCGGTTTAGGGGTTTAGGGTTGTGGGGTTTCAGGGTTTGAGGTGTTCGGCTTGGGTGCAGGGGCACGCAAGGAACCAAATAGGTTCTATGTGTCCCATTTAGGGTAGCTTATCTTAAGCCCCTTAACTTAGGCTGTTTCTGGTCTAGAGGGTTTGGGCATGTATGGTTCTATGGGTAGCTACATGGTCCCTTAGTATGGGACCTTGAAAAAGGGGGACCCGTTATATACCCTTTAAAATTTGGGGCCCATACATCAGATCCCTTTAAAGGAGGTCAGGGACCATACTAAGGGCAGATTAAGGGTAGGGTTTAGGGTTTAGGGTTTAGGGTTTAGGGTTTAGGGTTTAGGGTTTAGGGTTTAGGGTTTAGGGTTCGGGGCCCGAGGGTTTATGGACTCGCGGTTTAGGACTTATAAGGTGTAGGAGACTCGGCTTCGCATGCAGACTCATTGGGTTCGATGAAGATTCGTAATATTTCGGGTTTGGGGTTTGGGGTTTAGGGTTTAGGGTTTAGGGTTTAGGGTTTAGGGTTTAGGGTTTAGGGTTTAGGGTTTAGGGTTAGCCCTTCGCCCTCTGGGACCCGGAGTAGGCCCCTTCTTTCCTTGTTTCAGGGTTGGGGTTCTCTTATGATCCCCTCAAAACCAGAAAGGGCACCCTTTTTATTCCTAGGTTACTCCCGGGTCTAGCCCTACATCCCACAAGTACCCTAAACCCTAAACCCTACACCCTAAACCCTAAACCCTACACCCTAAACCCTAAACCCTAAACCCTAAACCCTAAACCCTAAACCCTATAGAGCTTGTAGGGTGCCGCAGGCTTGCAGCCGCGCAGCGTCCGGTGCTCAACCCGCTCCCAGCGGGCTTGAGGGTGTCTGGCGTTGGGCTTGCGAAGTTTAGGGTTTTGGGGTTTAGGGTTTTAGGGTTTAGGGTTTAGGGTTTAGGGTTTTAGGGTTTTAGGGTTTTAGGGTTTTAGGGGTTTCGTTGTTTTATGGTTTAGGGTTTTAGGGTTTAGGGCTAGTCTATGTGAAGAACTCACGTTCGCACAGCCGTGGTCACTGCGCCCCCCTACTTAAAGCCCTCAAAGCCAACATGTTTGTCTAGTTCCGGAGGCGAGGCTGAGACGCGGAGCACTGCAATTTGATAGCGTTTGGGGTTTAGGGTTTAGGGTATAGGGTTTTTTGGGAGCCAGACGCTGAAGTGCGATGTAAGGCGAGCTAAAGAAATTTCCGGCCGCGGGTGAAACTTAAGAAATTCGAGGTATGGCGCCTGACTTGGTAACCCCGTGGTACCCTTTAGCCCTTTTGTGGATTCACGGCTTCCTTTTAAAGTAACCAACCCAAAAGAGGTACCCTTGTTTTAACATGGTTACTGGGCTACCAAGATTGCATTGCGCTGTGTTACACACAGTCGTTGCCAGCGCTAACTACCCTAAACCCTAAACCCTAAACCCTAAACGCTAAACCCTAAACCCTAAACCGATTCGGCGGTTGGACGTTCAGGGCTTTATGACTTGGTAGCCCAGTGGTACCCTTTACTTTTTTTTGGTTCTGTGTTCCCTTATAAAATAACCAACCCCCAAAAAAGGGTGCCCTCATAATAATATGGTTGCTGGGCTACCAAGATGATGGGGACCGAGGAGGAAAGCAGGGTTTAGGGTTTAGGGTATGGTGTGAAGGGTTTTTGGCCGGGCCGATCAGCGGCGCCAGGGAGCGGAAGTAAGGGTTTAGGGCCCCTAGACCCTCATTAATCCCTACAAACACCTAACCCCTAATTTGTTAAACCCTAATTAAACCCTAGTTTATTCAACCCTCATTAAGCCCTCATTTTTTTCAACCCTAGTTAGACCCTAATTTATTCAACCCCACAAACCCTCAACCCGGATTAAACCCCAAGCCCTCGCCTCTGCCCAGACTGAGGTGGCGGGCGAGGATGGAGAGCTCATGACTTTGATCACAAGGACCATAGAGCGACCTGAAGGATGGCTATTATAGTTTATATGGGTTGGACGGTTTAAGGTTTAGGGTTTAGGGTTTAGGGTTTAGGGTTTAGGGTTTAGGGTGTAGGTACTTGAAGGTTCATGGTGCTCATTCACCAAGTATGACTGTACTTAACAACCCAAAATTATATCCATATTAGGGCACTTAGGTACTGCGCCAAGGCAGTCGCCCTTTCAAACCCTTCACTGGGTGAGGGGGGTCGCTTCCGTCGCTCCCACTTTTTTAGGGTTTAGGTTCCCGTTGTGAGCCCTTTTGAACCAACAAGGGCACCCTGGTCTATTCCTAAGCTACTCTTGGGTCTGGGAAGGGGGCCGCCTTCTTTTCTTTGTCATAGTTGGGTACCATTTTATTTTTTTGAGGGTACTTAAACCCAATAATGAATACATAAATTTAGTGTTTTTTATACATTCACCCAACCATGAACTAGCTTTGCATCCCTTATCTTTTTGTCCTCGGTGTCCTGTTTAGAAGAGGTTGGGCGACGCAACCTTAGGACCCCATAAACGAGTCATGTCTTGCGTTACTTGAATTGGGGGTTTAGGGTTTAGGTTTAGGGTTTAGGGTTTAGGGTTTAGGGTTTAGGGTTTAGGGTTTAGGGTTTAGGGTTTAGGGTTTAGGGTTAGTTTTGGAGTCATGTCTTGGGTCACTTTACTTGGGGCGGGGCGGGGGTTGGGGCAGCCATGTACTTTAGGGGTCTTTAACCTATAAATGGAGAACATACACGGGAGTCCAAGGGAGGATTTTACCATACCCCTGAATTGATTTCAAGGGTATGTTGAATAATATTTTTCTTAGACTCACGGTATTCCGTGAGGATCTTTGAGCTCGGCATCCTCATGATCGCGCTGGGTACCAGCCTCGTGGTGGCCGGGTGTAGGGTTGAGGTTTAGTAAAACCTAAAGCCTAAACCCTAAACCCGAAACCGTAAACTGTATTTAGGGTTTCGGGGTACTTTGGGTTTTCGGAGCCTAGGGGTTTTCAGGTTCGGGGGGGGCCTTGCTTCATTCCAAAGGCATCGTTCCTACTTGGCAGCGCAAGTGGGGCCCTTTCCTTTTTTGGCTCCAGGTACGTTTGTAGAGACACCCTAAACCCTAAACCCTAAACCCCAAACCCTAAACCAACCCCAAATTGGGTACCCTCATAGAATATGGTTGCTGGGCTACTAAAGTGTACAGGTCCATGTTTTGGGATGGGCGGCCAAAAGGGACCGATCTTTAGGGACCTCCCCCCCCACTCTCCGACTTGGCTCATATAGGGTTTAGGGTTTAGGGTTTAGGGTTTAGGGTTTAGGGCTTCGTGATTAGGGTCGAGGGTGAGGGTCCCTTAGGTTAGGGCTTGTGGCCAGGTAGGTTTCGGGTCGTTCATAGAGAAGGGTTCTGGGTGTGGTGTTCATTCTATGCTGTGCAGCTTAGATTTCATGATTGTCGTGTTGGTTCACGACTAAGAGTTTGGCATGTGCCAGTTCATGGAATTATGGATGTCCGGCGCGCTGCAAATTCAGAAAATTCCCTATACTTGGTAGCCCAGTGGTACCCTCAGCGGAAGACAAAAACCTAGTGAACGCCGGCACCAGCCACTTGCAGGGCGTGGGCACCTCAACCAAACACCTCCGGAAGACTAAAACTCCCAGCCCGAACCCCTGAATCCCTCAACCGACCACCCAAGCAGAGCACCCAACATCACATTCACATCCTGCGCGCCAAGGCCCTGAACCGGTTTAGGGGTTAGGTTTTAGGTTTTAGGGGGTTTTGCCCCTCAATGTCCTAACATTTGTTCGACATCCTTTTCAGCGGCATGGCGGCGGTGGCCGATGACAGCCCGCCCAGCCGAGGTGGTTTTGGGGCCACAAAGCCCCTGAAGCCCTGCAAACCCTAAGCCGTCAGCACGGGTATTTGGTGTTTGGGTTGGGGCCCGTTGGGGTGTATCCTTGGGTATACGAGGTGGGGGGTACTTCGGGGTCCAGGGCGCCCTAAACTACTAGCCAAACCCTAAACCCTTAAACCCTAGTCGTTTTTGAGGCTTGAATTCCAGGCTTCTGCAGGGGGTGCATGGGGGGGGGGGGGGGGATTGCACAGAGCCACTGCCCCCAGACCGCAGCGGCGGTTCAGGGCTTGAGGTTTAGGGTTGAGCCTTAATTAGGGTTTAGGGTTTGGGGTTCAGGGCATGACTCTGCCTCCTTGCGACATCCCCCACAAAAGGGGGCAGGGCTAGGGGGGGTTAGGGGGTTAGGGGGTTTAGGGCTGAGGGCGGTTAGGGGTTGAGGGGAGGTCCGGGGGGCGGGGGGGGGGGGGCAGACATGAATCTAAAGCCGAAGGACCAGAAGCTCAAAGCCCGAAGGCAACTAAACGATCTCCGTAATTTGCGAGTCGGTAATGCTTGTGGCTGCCTTGATCTTTGCCCATGACGATCCCTTGCAAGGTTCCTGCGTTGTATATGTCGGCTCGTGTATTGAGGGTTGTTTCATCCCGAAGCCCTAGTATACAGCCTTTTATAAGCCCTAAACCCCAAACACCCTAAACCCCAAACACCTTAAACCTAAACCCTAAACCCTAAACCCTAAACTCCCACACAGGTCGCTGGGGCCGAGCGCGCCGCGAGGCCTGTGCCCAAGGCTGCTGGGGCAGGTTGCAACCCGAAACCATAAAACCCTGAACCCTAAATCAGGGTTTAGGGTTTAGGGTTTAGGGTTTAGGGGCTTAGGGGTTTAGGGTTTAGGGTGAACTTTAGGATGCGTCAGTCATGAAATCAGCCCTGCCCTCCGATACCCCCTAAACCCTAAACCCTAAACGCGCCCTGAACCTACCCTGGCTTCCACTATGAAAACCCTTGAGGGGTTCTACGGTCCGAAACCCTAAACCCCCACCCTAGACCCTAAGCCCTGAACCCCAAACCCTGAACTTTCACACTTGGTAGCCCTTTACCCTTTTTTGGTTCTGGGTTTCCTTTGTGAAGTAGCCAACCAAAAAAGGATACCCATATTCGAAGATTGTTACTGGGCTACTAAGTTAAAAGACCCTAACCCTAAACCCTGAACCCTGAACCCTGAACTATAAAGAGCGCGGAGGCTACGGAGGCCGCCGAAGCCGATGGGGTTCAGACGCGAAGGCCTTTCAGACGTGGAGCTTGGTTAGGGTTTAGGACTTAGGACTTAGGACTTAGGGTTTGGGGTTTGGGGTTTGGGGTTTGGGTTTAGGGTTTAGGGTTTGGGGTTTAGGCTGCCGTAAGCCTCTGAGGCCCTCAGACCCTGAACCCCACATCCTGAATTCTGTCCTCGAAGCTCTTATTAGAATATGGTTACGACCCTAAGTCCTAAGCCCTAAACCCTAAACCCTAAGCTCTCAACCCGGGGACCGAAGGGGCAAAAAGCCCCCAAGGCGACTGGGGCTTCTTCCTGTGTGGTTGCGATCGTGACCCCAGGCCCTATAGGTAAGTAAGGGTTTAGGGTTTAGGGTTTAGGGTTGAGGGCTTAGGGTTTAGGGTTTAGGGTTTAGGGTTTAGGGTTTAGGGTTTAGGGTTTCGGGTTTCGGGTTTCGGGTAGGGCGGCCCGAACCCCTAGACCGCATACCCGAAGCTCTCATCCAACAGCCCTAAATGCCGAGAGGCCCTGGGTTGAGAGTTCGGGGTTTCTGGTTTTCAGGTTTGCTCTAGGGTTTTAGGGCCAAACCCTATAAGCCCCCAAACCCTCTGAACCCTGCAAACCCTTTCAACCCCATGGGCTGTAAACCCTACAAACCCTATAAACCTCATAAAGCCCCATAAACCCAAACAAAAAAACATAAACCCTATATGAACCCCACAAGCCCTGTACACCACCTAAACCCCAAACCCCAAACCCTAAGCCCTAAACCCTTTCAACCCTGTAAAGGCCCGGCCCCCGGTAGCTTGGGGTAGACACCAGTAGGTGGCTTCAGCCAACCAGGCGGAGAAGACTTCCGCCCAGGAGGAGGAGGACATTGGGGGCAACCGGGGGGTGGAGTAGGGTTTGGGGGTTAGGGTCAAACCAATTGTAATTGTACTTTTAACCCACTTGTAAGCCCCTTAAGTGCCCGAACATGGTTTTCGTTTGGGTTATAAGTACAGTTATCATTTGTTAACAAGTGCCATGAACCTTCAAGTAACTCTAAACCCTAAGCCCTAAACCCTCTCCCCAAAGAAAGCCCTCGGGCTTCCCGATGCCTTTGCCAGGCAGCAGGCTGCAGGGTGTGGGGTCTATATAGGGTATATAGCGTAGGGCTTAGGGTTTTTGTTGGTTGGTTTAGGGTTTCTAGGGTTGTTGCGGCTTGAGGGTTTAAGGCTAAAGGCCCTTCTGAAAACATGTTTTTGGGTTAGGTTTTTTTGGGGTTTAGGTATTGGTTGTTGTCGGATCCATTCAAGGTATAGAGCAGTTGAGCACTCCTCGTTTAGGGTTTAGTGGGTGTATAGGGTTTAGCGTTCTTTGTTTAGGATGTATAGAGTTTATGGGTTTTGCATTATTTGTTTATTATGTATCGGGTTTGCAGGGTTTGCAGCGTTTCTGGGTTTATCGGGTTTGGGTTTAGAGTTTTTTGTTTAGGGTTTGTAGGGTATACGGTTTTTAGTTCAGGATCTAGAGGGTTTAGGGCTTTGTGCGCCGGTTTCTCAAAGCCCAATGGCACCCCCCCCCCTCCCCCAAGCCGAACTACCCCGAATTTGCTTGCAAGGAGGAAGCCTAAACCCTGAACGCCTAGCCCCTAAACCCTCACCCCCCCTAAGCACTAAACCCCAAACCCAAAGTCCGAAGCTCCTCACCCTGCAGCCGAAGCCGCAGTCGTCTCAAAGCGCGCTGGCTTGCGAAACTTCTAAACCCTAAACCCTAAATCTCCTGAACCCTGAACCCTAAACCCTAAACCCGAAGCCCTAACCCTAAACCCTAAACTCTAAACCCTGAACCCTAAACCCTAAACTCTAACCCCTGAACCCTAAACCCTGAAGGACTTCCGCCCACTCGTTTTGGAGGGCGGACCGCGTCCTGGCGTAGGCGCAGTAACATCTGCCTCGCCTTTTTAGGGTTCAGGGTTGAGGCTTTCGGTTGGGATGTTCCCCTTTTTCGAACAGTCCTTAATAGGGATTATCGTACCCCCCGCCCCCCTATTATCATCCCTATTAAGGACCTGTTAGTAGAAGGGGGAGCATCCCAAGGTTCCGGGTTTAAGGTTTAGGGTTTAGGGAGATAGCCTCCCTGAACCCCCCCCCCCCCCCAAATATGCTGGACTATAGGACGGCGCCAATCTCACTGATGTTGAACCCCAGGCCCTATAAACCTCAACACCTAAACCGCAAACTGTGTAAGCCTGTTTTAAACTAAACTCAACACCCCCTAACCCTCAAACCCATCAAGCCAAAACCACGAACCCCGAACCCAATAAACCCCTAAACTCCTGTATACACCCCAAAACCCCAAACCCCCAAGACCACAAAAACAAACCCCAGCCACAGCACGGATATGTTCTACAGTATTGCCATACCTGATCGCGCTGCTCCCAACCCCCTGTCTATGACTGCTTTCCCTGACCTGTGGGTCAGGTACATGGTCTAAGCGATCAGTTTGTTCAAGTCAGGGAACTCGGCGCATCGTACCCTGTGGGATTTCCAACCTCACGCACCCAAAGCCTAAACCCTACGCCGCAAACCCCAAACCCTCGGCCCTAAGCCCCAATCCGTAAACCCCAAACCCTACAGAAAGGTACGCTGAGGGGCACCACGCTTTTGCGTTTCTGCAACCCCCAAACCCGAAACCCTAAACCCCTAACCCCAAACCCTCAACCCTAAGCCCCAAACCCTAAACCTCAAGCCCTAAACCCAAGCCCCAAACCCCAAACCCCAAACCCCAAACCCTCGACCCCAAACCCCAAACCCCAAACCCCAAACCCTAAACCCTAAACCCCAAACCCCAAACCCCAAACCCCAAACCCCAAACCCCAAACCCCAAACCCTAAACCCTAAACCCTAAACCCCGAACCCTAAACCCTAAACCCTAAACCCCAAACCCCAAACCCCAAACCCCAAACCCCAAACCCCAAACCCCAAACCCTAAACCCTAAACCCTAAACCCTAAACCCCAAACCCCTCCTCGAGAGGCTGCTTCCTTCGACTCCGGCGGGGCCTGCGAATGCCACAGCTTGGCCTCGGGAGCGGCGGTCTGGAGGCTCCAGGGTTTGGGGTTTGGGGTTTAGGGTTTAGGGTTTAGGGTTTGGGGTTTAGGGTTTAGGGTTTGGGGTTTGGGGTTTGGGGTTTGGGGTTTGGGGTTTAGGGTTTAGGGTTTAGGGTTTGGGGTTTAGGGTTTAGGGTTTGAGGGTTGAGGGTTTAGGGTTTAGGGTTGAGGGTTGAGGGTTTGGGGTTTGGGTTTGGGGTTGAGGTTTTAGGGTTTGGGGTTTGGGGTTTAGGGTTTGGGGTTGAGGGTTTAGGGTTTAGGGTTTGGGGTTTGGGGTTTGGGGTTTAGGGTTTGGGGTTTAGGGTTGAGGGTTGAGGGTTTAGGGTTGAGGGTTTGGGGTTTAGGGTTTAGGGTTTGGGGTTTGGGGTTGAGGGTTTAGGGTGTGGGGTTTGGGGTTTGGGGTTGAGGGTTTAGGGTTTGGGGTTTAGGGTTTAGGGTGTGGGGTTTGAGGGTTTAGGGTTTGGGGTTTGGGGTTTAGGGTTGAGGGTTTAGGGGTTAGGGTTTAGGGTTTGGGGTTCAATGTAGTTTTTCCGCCCGTGTTCTCAATCTAGCGAGGCAGCCTACAAGGAGGCCAAACACGCTGTGAATGCCCTGGGAAATGCGCTGAGGATGGGGCGTGCGCGCGCTCAAGTTTTAGCCACAAGTTGCGTTTCCGTGAGCGCTTTCAGCTTCCAGGTCAGGGGCGCCCCAAGGGCAAGGCTGCTGCAGGCCAAAGAGGACAGCGACTCGGTTTTACCACTTTTCGAAGCGCTGCAGGACCTGGCAAGACACCTGTTGCCCAGCCTGAGCCTGGGAGCCCATCATGCGAGCATCCCCCCCCTCCCCTCGGATTTTTAACGCCATGCAAGCAAGCGTGCTTCCATGCGTTTGAGCATTGTGTTTGCAGATGAGGGTAGAGGGTTGAGGGTTGAGGGTTTAGGACTGGAGGTTTGCAGGCCTCACGCGGTCCGAAAGTCCAAGCCCCTTTGGAAGCAGGGTTGATGTTGTTGAGGAGGGTTTAGGGCTTAGGGTTTAGGGTGTAGGGTGGGTTTAAGGTTGGGGTTTAGGCTTTAGGGTTTAGGTCTAGGGATGTATCACTGGTATTAGTGAGTGCATATAGGGTTCCTTCTTGATATTGGTGATGTCACCTACTGGGTACTCGGGCTTACCAAGTTCCGACGAGTGGGCAGTACCTGGAACAATGGACCCGGCGCCAGTGTGGTGTGGTTCCGTCCTACCTTGTAAACCCTAAACCCTAAATCCTAAACCCTAAACCCTAAACCCTAAACCCTAAGACATGCGGCGAGGCTAGATGTTCTGGATATTGATGCGTTCAGTTCGTGTCATGTCACTAGGCTCGGACGTTGCAGTCCCTACACGCTACCGGGCACTCTCTTTACCTACAGTCTTCTAGGTTCTACTTACTACTTAAAGGCTAGTTACTACTAAACTCCAGCGACATAGGGTCGCAGCTACCCTAAACCCGAAACTTTAAAGGCCTTAAACGTGACATCCACAAAAAGCCAAGAATCGACGACGGGCTGGAGACCAGGTTGCAAAACATTTAATTTGATGCTACAATTGCAGATCAGGGCAGGGTTTAGGGTTCGGGGTTCGGGGTTTGGGGTTTAGGGTTTAAGGAGCTTAGGTCTTCAGGGCTTAGGGCTTAGGATCAGGAAAGGGTTTAGGAGAATACAGCCAAGGCCCCAGAATCCTAAACCCCTGGAAGCCCTGAGCCCTAAAACCCCAAACCCTTTCAGCCGCCATCGTCCCTAAACCCTAAACCCGAAACCCCAAATTCCTATCGTCCCTTGGGCCCAAACGCCTGCCAGGGCCGGGAGGGCCGCGAAGCCATTGCCGCGGCCCTGCGCGCAGGCACGGGATGGGTGGAGTAAGGGGTAATAGCAGGGAAACTTAGAAGCGACCCTTAATCTTGTTCCGCCCTATAATCTAGCCCCTATATATATATATATGTGCAAATGTACACACACACATATATATATATATATACATACCTTACATAGTCCCTATAACTTATAGCCCATAGCTTTAAATACCCTATTAGGGTCCTCCTTTAGTCCCGTGAGTGGAGTTTCAGCTGGGTTTGCGGGTGTATTTGCAAGCACAGAACCTCGACCCCAAACCTTAAACACTGTAAGCCCTAAACCCTAAACCCTAAACCCTAAACCCTAAACCCTAAACCCTAAACCCAAGCTCGCCACGAGCTCAACTCCTCAGGTTATCGACTCATCGACACGGCGCTCTACTACAGGACATTTCTGCTGAACTGGGGCCTCTTTTTGGGGCACCTCTGGATGAGGGACCCTATATGACGGGCATCTACCAGCTTCGCCTTGAAACCTGGAAGCCCTAAACCCCACATGACAAATGTACATGGTGATCCGTTCCCCGCCTGATAAATTGGGTGTGGGGTTCAGGGTTTGTTGGGTGCAGAGAGCAAGGATGGTTTCAAGGGCGGACTCATATTTAGCGGCTTAGGGTCGTCCCCAAAGTCCGAATTGCGAGGGTGAAAGCATCTAGTACTGAAAACGCTGTCAACGAACACATTCTTCTCGTCGTAGGGTACCCCAAGTTGCCTACGTTTCTTAGTTTCCGTTGCCCTATGTACCCGGGGAGGGGGATTTGCGAGTACGCTATACCACTAGGCCAAATACACCCTAAACCCGAAAAAACCTAAACCCACAACAGACACGAGCCAGGGCCGCTTGTAATCCTTAGTTTTGGTAGCTCGGGGTGGGAGTACCCCCGCATTCGGATCTTTGTTTTGGCTTCGCAACCGGCTCAGCACTGCTTCTGTCATCTCTTGACCTGTAGGGGTCTAGCTAGGTCTGTTTTTTGGGTGTTTTGGGGCTTAGGGATTGTGACCCTGAACCACACCATAAACCACCCTAAACCCTACACCCTAAATCCCCTAAACCCAAGTCTCCTTAATCCTAAACCCTGAACCCGAAACCCTAAACCCTAAACCCTAAATCCCTTAAACCCGAAACCCGAAACCCTACATCCCCGAAATCCCCTAAACCCTAGCCCTAAACCCTAAACCCCAGAGGACGGAGAAAGAGATTGCGGCGGGCATACGCCTCGCAGGCTTGTCGAGATCGGAGGCTCCTGGGCACTGGCAGCTGCAAGGGCCCTCCAAGACCCTAAGTTTAGGGCTTAAGGTTTAGGGTTAGGGTTTAGGGTTTAGGGTTCAGGGTTTAGGGTTTAGGGTCTAGGGTTTAGGGTTTAGGGCCATAAGCCCTACACATCCGATCCTGTTAGCCCCCCAAACCGGCCAAACCCTTTAGGGTTTAGGGTTGAGGTATGGTTCAGAATGTTTTACAGTTTTACAGGGTACGCCCACTGAGGCCCCCACCCCCCCTCCCCCCCAGACAGACAGCCCCAGACCCTGTAGATCCGTAAGCCCTGAAACCCCCAGCCCTCTGAAACCCGAAACCCTGAACTCTAAACCCTTAGCCCTTAACCCTTAAACCCTTCAACTCTTCAAGCCTTCCACCCTTCAACCCTTAAACCCTCAACCCCTCGATCCTCAACCCTCAACCCTTTAAACCCTAAACCCAAAACTCAGCGGCATGCGAAGCCTATGCGAACCGTTCCGGGGTGCGAGTGTTTAGTAGGGCTGCAGGGTGTTCGAGTGTTAGGGTGTGGGGTTTGGGGTCTTGGGGCTTGGAGTTTGGGGTTTAGGGTTTAGGGTTTAGGGCTGTAGAGTAGGCTGGGTTTCAGGTTTTGAGTTTATATCCTTTAGGGAGGCAACACGCCCTCACAGGGCTTGAGTTTAGGGGCAGAGAAGGATCAACTTGCGGAGCTCTCGACACATTGGGCAGCTTCTTTGACTTGAGCAGCCTAAGCCACAGCTTGAACCCGAAACCCCGACACCCCTAAAACCTAAACCCCTGAACCCCTGAACCCCTGAACCCCTAAACCCCTAAACCCCTAAACCCCTAAACCCCCAAACCCCAAACCCTAAACCCCAAGCCCTAAACCCAAAACCCGAAGCCCCAAGTTCCAGATCCCCGGTGCAGCTCGGAGGTTTTCATCTCCACCAAAGTGCTGCAAAAAGCGCACGCCAGCAATGCCCAGGCAGGTGCTTCCGGGCATCCGGGGCATTCGGGGTGGGCAGGACGATGCGGCCCTAGGGTTAGGTGTTTGGGGTAGGGGGGGGTCTAGGGTATAGGGTATAGGGTTTAGGGTTTATATAGGGTATTTGGCATCCAAGTGGTATCCTTTTCCCTTTATCGGTTCAAGGTTCCCTCATAAAGTAACCAACCCCACCAACGGTGCCCTTATTGTAATGGGGCCACTGGGCTAGCAAGTAGGGTAGGCTAAGATTATGCTTGTAATAGCAGTCAGTTGCAGAAAACGTTTACATATGCCTGTATGTCTGTATATACTTGAAGGTTCATGGTACTTATTAACCAATTATCACTGTACCTATAACCCAACTTATCACCATATTAGGGCACGTAGGTGGCTTATTTGGTTAGTAAGTACCCTGACCCCCCCCCCCCCTCCCCCCAGTATAGGCAATGTGGACATTTCCAGTTGCCGCGGTCATGGTCCTGATTGTCACGCATGTGATCTCACAAATGTTCAGCATACCCCTTGTGAGCATACCCCTTAGGAGAGATTTTATGGGCATGGTAAAATCCTTCCTTTTTTTGTCCTGGTAGAGGTTAAGGGGTATGGGTTTGGGGTATGCTGAATTAGTCGTAGTATGTTTATCAGAATATGTCAGCGATTTTCTGAGCAACGTGCGGTACCGCCGTGGCAAACTGTAGAAGACCGAAGGCCTGGACTCTTAGGCCCAAGGAGCGCGCGTGGGTCTGAAGTTTTAGAGCTCTGTGGTGCTGCAGTAGCCCTAAACCCTAAACCCTAAATCCTGATCCCAGAGGATTCTACGTCGAAACTCAAAGAGCAGACCGTGGACCCTGAACCCTAGACCCTGAACTATGTCATGCAAGCCCTAAGCCCTATCGCCCGAACCTCCCAAATCCCCAAACGTTTCGAGTTTAGGGTTCCGGTTGCCCTAAACCCAATCCCTAAACCCTAAACCCTAACCCCTAACCTCGCAGGGTCAAGCCCAAAGCGGTCGCTTGCGCAGGTGCGTGAGTCGTTGAAAGAGAGCCTCAAAAACCTGGGTAGTCGACGCCTCAGTGGAGGTGGGAGTGGATATTTTCGGTTTAGGTTTAGGGTTTAAACTTTAGTCCCGTTTAAGGTTTAGGGTTTAAGGTTTAGGGTTGAGGTTTTTGGGTTTAGAGTTTCGGGTTAGGTCTCAGGGTCTTAGGGTTTGGGGTTTATGTTGATGAGGGTTTAGGTTTCAGGTAGGGTTTCTTTGAGGCTGCCTTAATAGCCTCTGAGGGTCCTAGGGTTCAATATCATGTGTTTGATTACTACACCCTAAACCCTAAACCCTAAACCCTAAACCTAGACCCTAAACCCCTTGACCCTTAAACGCCCTAGACACACCCTCTGGAAAACCTTGCAAGTCTCGTCTTGAGGCATGAGGAGATCAAATCTTGGGTTGCTGACGCACACACGGTGAAGGCACTGGAGGCGGAGGTGTCCTGCCTCCGACAACGCGCCTGCTGATCCAGCACTGCACTCATACATACAAAAACACACATACATACATGTATAATATATATATATACATATATATATATATATACATACTTATATATATATATATATATATATATTTGTATTCATATCCAGCGCTGCAACGTGGGTGCGACAGGATGCTGGCCTCAGTGCCCCAAGCATCGCGCTTGCGGCTGGAGGCCAGTAACTCACGCGCCGGTGCTTCCGGAGCCAAGCGCCATTCATCGAAAACCCTTACAACCCTAAACCCCAAAACCCGAAACCCTAAACCCTAAACCCTAAACCCTAAACCCTAAACCCTAAACCCTAATCCTTGCGAGTCTCGTCTTGAGGCATGGGAAGATCAAAGCTTGGGTTTAGGATTTAGGGTGTAGGGTTACAGGGTTTAGGGTTTAGGGTTCAGGGTGGGCGAATTGGGTACACCGGGACCCTTATAGTGTGTATATAGGGTTATATATGGGTTATATAGGGGAATACGACGGGTAGGGGGTCCCCCGTTCGACCCCTTGAAGGGACATTTGCCGGAATGGCTGCAGCTGTGCTCAGCCAAGTTGGCCGAGCACTTGGATCTCCAGTGATGAGGAGGTCTTCAATCATCATAGTGGGATAGCATTTTACATCTTTAAGGGCACGTAAACCTCAATAAGGAATGGAAATCTAAGTTTTGAGGGTACTTAAGCTCAATAAGGAACAGAAGTTTTATTTCTAATACTATCCGGTGAAGTAGCGGTGATGGATCATGTTTTGGTAGTCCGGTGGTACCCTTTTCCCCCTTATGTTTTGGTGCAAGGTTCCCGGATAAAATAACCAACCCCAAAAGAGAGATAATCTGGAGGCCCCGAGGCCCCAAACTGGGAGCTTCAAGGTTTAAGTGGGGTTTTAGGGTTTAGGGTTTAGGGTTTAGGGTTTATGGTTAATCCGAGCTTCTGATTAATTGGTGGGCCCCCCCCCCCCCCCCCACAATAAGGAATGCAGGGTTCCGCAATAGTTGGACCATGGCCCTGTATTGATTCTCTATTAAAAACAATAGGCTGCAGATCCCTGAGGTGCTGTAGCTTTGCGTCTCCGCAAGCAAAACAAGAAGCCTGCCGACAGATTTTGGAACCCCCCCAAAAAAATTCCTTTAAATGTGGGGGGTTTGTCCCATACGAAATCCACCCTAATGGAAAGTAGTCTTCCGGCGGGCTTCCGGCCAAAAAAATTTCTTTAAATGTGGGGGTATTAATTAAACTGATGCTCGGATTAGGGGCCGAGGCAACTATGTGGATCTCTACCTCATCCACAACCCCAGGGCGGGACGCATCAAGGAGCTCCATGTTGAAACACCCTGGGAGCACCGTGAGACAGCACCCAGCACCGCTGCGTTGTCCTTGGTAGCTGAGTGGTACAGGGTTTAGGGTTTAGGGTTTAGGGTTTAGGGTTTAGGGTTTAGGGTTTAGGGTTGGCAGCCTTTTGCCCTTTTGGGTCATGGGTTCCCTTATAAAGTAGCCAGCCCCAAACAGGGTACCCTTATTACTGGTCTGCCAAGTGGCAGTATGTTAGTATGCGTTGGGTTTCTGTATGGTTGGAAGTCAATACTGAAAGTTAATGAAGATCCTGGTTTCCAATATAATGCGGACAATTCCAACGCCAAACCCGAACACACCTCTACAGCCCTAAAAAACCTCCAGCCCCAACGCTTCCCTACATCCCGAACCTGCCCAAAGCCCTACACCTGAAGCTCTAAACCCCTAAACCCTAAACCCCTAAACCCTAAACCCCTAAACCCCTAAACCCTAAACCCCAAACCCCAAACCAGAAGCCGGGGCCTCCACATCCGGCTTGCTTTGGGGTTCATTTCGGGCCTTAGGGTTTCGTGGTTTAGGGGCTTGATGCTTCGGAGGTTCTTGGGTTTAGGGTTTAGGGTTTAGGGTTTGGGGTTTAGGGTTTAGGGTTTGGAGGGGATTCTATCTAGGTTTGCCTCTGGGAGATTCAGACATTTTCCGTACTAGGGATTAGAAGGGGGCGCCATACCAATATTTATAAGGGATCCCCTATACTCATATATTTCTACCTGAACTCTAAACCCTAAACCCTAAACCATAAACCCTAAACCCTAAAACCTAAACCCCACGAATAATGTTCAATCCGGATTTTGAAAGCCCAACCCAGCGCCTTCATTGGGTTTGGAGGAGGTGTGGGCACTGCTGCTCCAGCTGCGAGACGAAGGGCTTGCAAGAGCTGCCCCTGGGTGCTGCTAAGGTTTCGGATTTAGGGTACCCCTAAGCCCTACGCCCGAAGCCCTCAGCCCTCAGCCCTCAGGCCCAAGCCCTAAGCCCCAAGCCCTAAGCCCTAAGCCCTAAGCCCTAAACCCTAAACCCTAAACCCTAACCCTCAAGCCCCCAACCATATTTTTCTCATGGGGTGGCCTGCGAATCCTTCCTGGGGATTTGTAGTAATAGCCTACGGATAGGTACGATTTGGGATTTTAAGGTTAAGGGTCAAGGATTCTGTGCATAATTCGTTTGTTTTCCCTCTTCTTCCCTAGGTCCTCCCCAGTAGCTCTTGCGAAATCTGAACAGTAAGAAAAGGGTACCCTTATTATTCAGGAGTTACTTTGGAACCTAGTTCCTGAATTTCAGCAGCCTGTTTCCCCAAACCTTAGACCCTAAACCCTAAACCCTTCGGTGCGTTTTGCCGTGATGTTCCCTTAACAGATGATATATAAGGGCGGGGTACATGGACCTCCGCATTCATGGTTCAGGGTTTAGGAATTACGGCAGCATTGAAGTTAACTCTGGCTCCTGAAGGAGGGGTTAATGCCCGTAGAATTGTGTCCGGAAAAGAGGTTTAGGGTTTGGGGTTTAGGGTTTAGGTTTGAGGGTGCCTTGGCACCTTCATGTCACGATGCCCTCTCTGACGTCGATGAAGTTGGCGCGGTAAGCGTGGGAGACAGTGCCAGCTTCCCTTCCTACGTTACCCTCTTCAGGCATCCGGGCCCTCACCGCCGAGAGGAATCATGCGTGCAAGGCGGCCAAGTGGCTAACCGCCGCCCCAATGGCTCGGTTCCTGAGGCATGATCTGCCAAAGGCTCCCGAAGCAATTCGGGCCTGGTGTTCCGAAGAGAATCGTGAGGGAGATTGTGTCCCCTAAGCCCTAAACCCCTAAACCCTAAACCCTAAACGCCTCAACCCTAAACCCTTAACCCTAAATTCATGGCCGATGCAGGAGGCACCTTAAAAGCCTTCCAGCGGCACCTGTGAAAGAGCAGGGGTGCCAATAGAACCCTGAACCCTATAAACCCTAAACCCTAAACCCTGAACTATTCGTCTGGTTTTGCCCTTATTACCCTTTAAGCGGTTATATGGGGGGAGCCGGATTCCCCCGCAGGTAAAGTAAAACCTGAATGTTGTTGACAGCCCCTGATCTCGAGGAGGGTAGATGCCCGCAGAGTTGTGTCCGGATAGGCAGGCTGTAGGGTTTAGGGTCTGGGGTTTACGGGTTGGGGTTTGGAGTTTGGGGTTTGGTGTTTTGTTTTCGGAGAAATGCTTTGAGCGGACTTCCCTAAACCTTAAAACCCTTCAAGCACAAAACCCTAAACCCCAAGGCGTTCATGGGCCGTACGAGAGCTCAGGCGGTGTATCCGGGGTTCCCCTGTAAAGTCTGAAAAGCCACAAACCCCAGCCTAAGCCCCCGAAACCCGAAACCCGTAACCCTAAACCCTAAACCCTAAACACTAAACCTGAGGGCGAGGGCTCCGAAGCCATGACATCCGAACTCCCTGACGCCGCACAAACGCGTCGAGGTTGGCGTTTCGAACTTCGGAATCGCCCAGCTCGAAGGCAGGGTTTAGGGTTTAGGGTTTAGGGTTTAGGGTTTAGGGTTTAGGGTTTAGGGTTTAGGGTGATAAACCCTGTAAAGCCCCAAGCCCCCAAACCAAAAAGCTCGAAAGCCATATCGCCCAAGCGCCCTAAACGCCCCAAAGCCCTCAAACCCGATTGGCTTCTTGTCGAGGGGGAGGGGGGCCTGCTAGAGGAGGTTCGTCCAAGTGGTTTACCTGCATCCGTTTCAGTTCTCCGAAAAAGCTGTGTAAGGATGGCATCAAAAGCATCTTCGGCGGGCAACTTGGGCTAGGGTTTAGGATTTGGGTTAGGGTATTCTCAGACTCGAATTGAAGCTATTCCGGGCGCATAGGTTTCGAGGTTGCATCGGACCCTTTACAAGGGCCCCTTAGGGACAGGGTTATTTGTGGCTTTGGGCCCTGCTCCCGGTGCATTTGTGATAGAGTATCCCTGATAGGTACAGACACAATAAACAAACTCAGATGGATTTTTACATCTACATCTTCGGGGGAGCAGGGACCGGCAATTCTTCATTTTCCCATTACGCCGCGCCACCAGCAAGAAAAGTCATGGCTGTAGTATTACTATACGGACATGAAATGTCTAGCTGTAGGACATTTATTTTCCACCGCACTTGGCCCTAAGCCCTCAACCCCTAAACTCCCAAGCTCCCAAACTCCTAAACTCCCAAACCCTGAACCCGAAAACCCTAATCTCCTAAACTCCCAAACTCAAACCTTGAAGCACAAGATAGGACTGCTGCCCTAAACCCCAAAGCCTAAGCCCTAAACCCTAAACCCTAAACCCTAAACCCTAAACCCTAAACCCTAAACCCTAAACCCTAAACCCTAAACCCTATAAACCCTATAAACCCTCAACCCTATAGGACTGCGGGAAGCCGGCCTGGAACTTCCCGAAGTGAATCAGATCGAGGCTGCGTGGGGTTTAGGGTTTAGGGTTTAGGGTTTAGGGTTTGGGGTTTAGGGTTTAGGGTTTAGGGTTTATACTTTTTTTGTTCTGGGGTTCCTATTCTAGCTACCTGTACCTAAAAAGTATGTACGTTTTTTCCAGGCTCTACCCAAAGCAGGGCTAAGCGCAGGGGTACCTTATTGGGGTCCTTATTTTAATGTTGGGGGTCCCCTATTTCCCTAAACCCGAAGTACCCTACACTCCAATACCCTGGAACTCCAAAAGGAAACCCTGTAGACCCTAGACCCTACAAACCCTGTAGACCCTAAGCTCTCAACCCTAAACCCCAAAAGCAAGATATTGAAACCCACCGAGCCACTCGTCGTGGAATCGCAAGGTTCATCCACGCCTGAACCCTAAACCTTCACCTGGTTAAGGTTGTAGGTTAAGGTTGTAGGGAGTGTGCAGAGTTTTTTTAGGAATTTAGAGATGAAGAGGCTCTAACCCCTCTTTTGGGAAGTCTCGGGGGCTTTTGCAGAGTTTGCAGAGTCTAGGGTTTATGGCGATTTAGGGGCCCCCTTTTTTGGGTGAAGTTTAGCCTTCGTTGCCCCAAGCCCGACGCCTTCTTCGGGCTGAAGTCGAGCCCCGGACCTCGAAAGCAAGCCCTAAACCCCAAACCCCAAGCCCTAAACAAAAAAAAACCCAAACCCTAAACCCTAAATCCTAAACTCAAACCCTAAACCCTAAACCTTAAACCCTAAACTCTATACCTAACCCTAAACCCTAAACCCTAAGCCCTAAACCCCAAACCCCAAACCCTAAACCCTAAACCCTAGGTTCACTGCTGGAGGCAACTCCCAGAGGCGCTTCGCCGGTTGTTGGGGCTTAGGTTTTTTTTTTGGGTTTCGTTTAGGGTTTAGGGTTTAGGGTTTAGGGTTTAGGGTTTAGGGTTTAGGGTTTAGGGATATAGGGTTTGGGGTTTAAGGATTAGGGATTTTGGGTGCAGGGTTTAGGGTTTAGGTTAAGAGGTTGTTGGGGCTTTGAGTTTTTGGGATGTCAGTGTTTTTCTGAACGGTTTAGGGGTTTATAGGATTTTAGGGTTTTGGGTTCGTGGCTCTAGGGAAAGTGTCATGGGTTTTTGGGTTTGGAGTTTGTTGGTTGCGGGTTTGGGGGCCAGTTTCCGGTTTAGTGTGCACAGTCTGTTTGGGGTCTAGGTTTGGGGTCCCTAAACCCCAAACCCTGAACCCTAAACCCTGAACCCTAAACCCTAAACTTTGAACCCTGAACCCTAAACCCTAAACCCTAAACCTATTTTGCTGTTGACTTCTGCGAGGTGACCGCGTACCACGAGCGGCATGGCCACTGGGACATGCAACCCGAAACACTGAACCCTGAACCCCAGACCGGTCTAGGGTTTAGGGTTTAGGGTTTAGGGTTTGGCGTTTAGGGTTTAGGGTTACTCTCCCCCCCCCCCCCCCCCCCCACCTCAAACTCTACAGTCACCGTAAGAATCATGCGCAAGGAACATTCATCTTCCCTTGGCCTTAAACCCTTAGACCCTCAACCCTCAACCCCTAAACCCTAAACCCTAAACCCTAACCCCTAAACCCTAAACCCTAGACCCTAAACCCTAAACCCCAAACCCTAACTCCGCAATGCCAACATCCTGTATGCCTTGGATCCCTAAGACGCACACTCCGCACGCCCGAACCCAAGGTTTAGGATTGGGGCTCAGGGTTTAGGGTTTAGGGTTTAGGATTTAGGTTTCAAGGTTTAGGGTTTAGGGTTTAGGGTTTAGGGTTTAGGGTTCAAGGTTTAGAGTTTGCCTCAAAGCCCGGAGCCCTACAACCGCTTAAGGGTCGGCAACCCTACGCTTTAACCCCTAAGCCCTGAACTCGAAGCCGTGTATACAGGGTTTATGTAGGGTTTATGCTGGGTTTATGTTGGGAATAATATTGGGTATGTAGGGTTTATGGCGGAATTCTATTTGGACTATATTGGGTTTGTATAGGATTTCTGTAGGGTTTATGTTGGGTGTATATTGGGTGTATGAACCCCGGAACTACCGAACCCAACGAGGTATCGCAACCATGACTATGGCCCCACTTGCCCGGGGGCGGCTCCTTGGCCGACGATACACCCGAAGCCCTAAGCCCTAAGCCCTTCCTAAGCCCTAAGCCCCAAGTCCTAAACCCTAAGCCCTAAGCCCTAAACCCTAAACCCTAAACCCTAAACCCCAAGCCCTAAACCCTAAACCCTGGAACTCTTACGGTAGTAGACGCTCCACGGCCCACTAGTGTCGCGGGCGATCTTTGGTACCAGGGGAGGGTACCCTAAACCCTAGACCCTAAACCCTAAACCCTAAACCCGAAACCCGAAACCCTAAACCCTATGTAGGTCTCACCCCAAAGCAAATTGAGGATGTTCGGCCACAGCGACCTGGCCAAGATGGCAGAGGAGCTCCAACCCTTCCTCACCCTCCCGTGGTCCCAAGCATGAAGGAGGTTGGGGGTTTAGGGTTTAGGGTTTAGGGTTTAGGGTTTAGGGTTAGGTTTAGGGTTTAGGGATGTTTAGGGTTCAGGGTTTAGGGTTTGCAGCGTTTCGGGACTGGGGTTTGGTTAGGGTAGGATCTGCTGCTTTTTGTGGGTGGGGGCCCTAAACCCTAAACCCTAAACCCTAAACCCTAAACCCTAAACCCTAAACCCTAAACCCTAAACCCTAAACCCTAAACCCTAAACCCTAAACCCTAAACCCTAAACCCTAAACCCTATGACCTGAACGGCGGCTCATCCTGAGGAGCTGGGTCGAAGTGAGGCGGAGCTGGCAATCCGCTGGTCGCTTCAGAAAGGCCGGGAGATCGAGATCGAGGTTTAGGGTTTAGGGTTTAGGGTTTAGGGTTGAGGGTTTAGGGTTTAGGGTTTAGGGTTTACAAGTTTAGGGTTTAGGGATTAGGGTTTAGGGTTTCGGGCTTATGCTAAGGGCTTGGGCTTTAACACCCGAAGCCCTAAACCCAACACCCTGCTAGGGTTTAGGGCTTTGGGGGTTCAGGGTTAAGGGCTTCCTGTAGCTTGTGGAGATGTGAGGGGGCGGTTTGGTGGTGGGCTTGACCTGGCGCGCAGATTCTTGAAGGCTCGTGGTGGGTTAATACGCAGGGTTTGCACTGCGGGATAACTTCCTTCTTCCCCAGAGAATCAAGTGTAGAATCACGTATCCCTCACATAGGGAACATTCCTGAGTTTGACTTCAGGAACCTTATTTATTGCCCACTCGGGGTCCCAGCGCCTATGGCCAGGCTAAACATGCTCCTAGACCCAATTGCCAATGCCCTCAGCCCTAGTTACACTAACCACCCCAAATCCTATAAGGAGCCCTGCATCACCCTACTCACCCGAATCACCTTAAACCCTTGGTAACCCTAAATCCTGAACCCTGAGTTTCTGAGGGTAGTTACATGGTGACTTAGCATGGGCCCTTAAAGGGGACCCCCTATTTACCCCTTATATACCCTATACAAATTAAGGGCCCATACTTCAGAACCCTCAAAGGAGGTAAGGGACCAAATTAAGGGACCATGTGACTACCCTAAGAGACTTTAGGCGCTATGCTTTTTTGCTTGTCGGGTTTGTCACAGCTTTGGGGCGCGCGATTCAGTCTCAGCGCTCAGACCTTGAAACCTTGGTGATTTCTGGAAGAGGGGTTTAGGTGAAATTTCGATGGTATGCAGAAAGATGTGGGTGTTGCCCTTTCTTCTTCCCCGCGGTCTAAAAGGGCTCCAGAAATGCCCTGACTCAGCCGAAATAGGCTTTTAGGCCTTTTGGTCCCTTTTAGGGTTTCGGCTCCCTTATCAGTCCCTTTAAGCCACCCTAAACCCTAAACCCTAAGCCCTAAGCCCTAAGCCCTAAACCCTAAACCCTAAACCTTAAACCCTAAACCATTCCTGAGATAGTCTTGGGTTTGGCAAGGGTGTTGCCTTCTTTATCCTCTCTGGGGGGGGGGGGGGGGTTGGGGTAGCCAGATACTACAGGAACTACTCATGCTATTCCCTTCTGGTCCCTATATAGTTCTACTACAAGAACCCCCGACACCCTATTCTCATTATCTTCGGGAGGAGGCTTTAGCCGCAAGATCTCGGTTTGGAGTTCAGTGCAGGGACAGGGACTGGAGAAGGTTGCAAGCTAGTGTGAACTAAACCTTGTAAACCCTTAGCCCTAAACCCTGAGCCCTAAACCCTTAGCCCTAAACCCTAAACCCTAAACCCTAAACCCTAAACCCTAAACCCTAAACCCTAAACCCTGAACCCTGAACCCTGAACCCTGAACCCTGAACCCTGAACCCTGAACCCTAACCCTAAACTTTACGTCCTAAACCCGAAGCCTGCCTGCTTTTTCGCTTCGTCGGCGAGGGTTCGTGCCCATCCCAAAGTCCATCAACTCGAGGCGCATTCTGCCACTTGGGTGGTGGGTTTAGGGTTTAGGGTTTAGGGTTTAGGGTTTAGGGTTTAGGGTTTAGGGTTTAGGGTTTACGGTTTACGGTTTAGGGTTTAGGGTTTAGGGGTTTAGGGTTTAGGGTTTAGGGAGTTTAGGGCTTCGGGCTTTGGGGAGTTTAGGGTGTTTAGGGGTGGTTGAGAGGGTTAAGGGGGTTCAAGGGGTTTAGGGGGCTTGAGGTTTAGGGTTTTGGGTTTTAGGAGGTTGGGTTTAGGGACGAAAGGTCTTAAAGGTTTCGGTTGCGAAACCCTGCGGCTTTTGAAGAACTCTTTCGGCTTTAGGGAGCCCTAAACCCTAGCCCTAAACTCTAAACCCTAGAATGTAGGATGGTTTTCGGCAAAATGGCACTTGTGGGTTCTCTTGTTGGCGCAGGGGGGCCTGTTCCCAGAAGAAGCTGGTCAAGGGTTTAGGATTTACGGCCACTTGCACCGAACTCTTTTTGCAGACCTTACAGTCAGCAACATTTTTCATCCAAATCCCCGACAAGTATTTTCAAGCCGCAGGAGGACCCTACAAACGTCATACTCGAAGCCCGCAAGCTGCACGAAACCCATCCTTAGTTGTAAACCTTAAACCCGAAATTCTAAATCCTGAACCCTAAACCCTAAACCCTACTTGTAAGCCCTAAACCCTAAACCCTAAACCCTCAACCCTCAACCCTCAACCCTAAACCCTAAACCCTAAATCTAAACCCGAAACCCTAAACCCTAAACCCAGGCAAAACATGGCGGATGGCTTTGACCTCAATCAGCGGCAGATGGACTCGGGGACTCAACTGGTGCTTCGCAATACGCATAGGAAGCGTGCAGAGGAGGGTTTAGGATTTAGGGATCAGGGTTTAGGGCTCCCTAAATCCTCAACCCTAGCCCTAAACCCTACACCCTACACCCTACACCCTGAACCCTAAAGGCTCATGATCTGTCAGGGCCTTGAAATCGGCTCCCTTAAATCTTCGAAGTACAAAGAACAAACCTCTAAGTCTCCAAATTTGGGTGATAAATTTGTGGGCCCGTTTAGCGCTCTGGTTCGTTTGCCTTCGATCCGGAGCCTATTTGTGGGTTGAACGGGCTTGTCCATAAGGTGGCTACACGCAAACATGGCGGTTTTTCAGCCGGGTGCCAAAGTGCAGCCAAGTACAACACGTGATTTTGACTCTGTGACATGTTAAGGGGTTTTGGATACTCGTTTGCACCCTAAACCCTAAACCCTAAACCCTAAACCCTAAACCCTAAACCCTAAACCCTAAACCCTAAACCCTAAACCCTAAACCCTAAACCGCGAGGACCGGATTGCGCAGCTGGACTCCGGCTACATGTCCTGTACCATGGCCTCGCCCTGCCACGAGCTGGCCTGGGAACTGGTGGCCGATACTCGGGAGGAGGTTGAGTGGGTTTAGGGTTTAGGGTTTAGGGTTTAGGGTTTAGGGTAGATTACGGTTCAGGCTTCAGGGTGTCTCAACTGTGTTTCTGTTGGATGTGTCGAGCTCGTATTCGGGTGCATGGGGCTTTCCGAGGCTTCTACTAGGACGAGGTCCCTGCAACCCTCACATTCTCGACCACACTGCACTCCCGGTTTTCGGACTCATGACTTAGGGTTTAGTGTTTAGCATAACTTGCCAGCTCTAAGACCCAGTAAGATAAGAACATGCTATGCCCTGGAGCCGATCATTGCGGAAGAACAGGAGTAATTAGTAGCAGTAGCAGTAGCCGTACCAGTGAAACCGTTTTCTTAGCGTCAGCGACGTCATGATACTGTCGATGGTGGGACGTTGCTTGTCTCACTGCGAGAGTTGCCGCATAGCGAACAAAAGGAGATCTACAGACGTGGCGGTCTCATCTGCTGCGCCAGCTGTTTCGGCGCCACCGGCTTTAACACCGTCGTCCTCCCCCGGCTCAAGCTTCTCATCGTGGACGTGGACAGCATGTGCGCTGTCGTCAAGGAGAGCTCCAGCGTCCGCTCTCGGAGACCGACCGACGTCGCAAAAAGCCCACGAGAACGCTGTGGAGATCAGGGTTCAGGCTCTATAGACCCTACAGACCCTTTTGACCCCATAGACTGCTTAGCCTGTTGGGTGGGCTTGTGGCTTGCGATGTTGGGTGTAGGGTTTAGGGCTTTGGGTTCAGGGTTTTGTTCCAAGGGCGCTCATGTGGGAGCGATCCGCTGAAATAACCCCCCCCCCCCCCCCCCCCGCCTGAACCCTAAACCCTAAGCCCGAAACCCCAAACCCCAAACCCGAAACCCTAGACAAATTTTGGGACAGCAAGTACTGAACTGTCAAACGTGAAAGCAACAAGAGCAACAGTCATAGTAGGAATAGCCGTAGGGAGCATACTGGTTCTGTACCAGTACTAGGCCCCTGGGCTATTTTTGTTCTTGCTCGAGGCATAGAGGTCTGTTTGTGCGCAAGGCCCGAGCTGATGGTTTGGGTTTTCGGGTAATTTAGGGCGCTGCTTGCTGGCCCAAGCAGATGAGAGTTGAGAATTATGGTTTCTAGAGGGTTGGGTGGCCAGAAGCTAGAGAAAGTATCCTAAGTCAAAGCGAAACCCCTGCGAGATGTTCTGCGCAGATCTTAAGCCCCAAGCCCTCAGCGAAAAACTAAACCTTTCAAACAACTTTAAACCCAGACCCCTCCAAACAAAAACCCAAACACTGAACCCTAAATCCCCAAACCCGGAACCCTTGACCCCCCCCCCCCCCAAAAAAAAAACACTTGATCTAAGGGTAGTTACGTGGCCCTAGCATGGGCTTTTTATATGCCCCTTAGATACCCCTTACACGCACCTTACAGACCCCTTACATACCCCTTATATGCCCCTTGTGTACCCCTTATATACCCCTCATATACCCCTTATTTCGCCCAACTCAGGACAGCATCCCACACCCAGACGCCTGGGGCGGCAACCGAAAAGGAAAGGGAAGAGGGCACAGCGGCTGCAAAGGAAGAGGTTTAGGCGTTAGGGGGTTTAGGAGGTTTAGGAGGTTTAGGGTTTAGGGTTTAGGGTTTAGGGAGTTTAGCGGTTTAGGAGACCTCAACCCTAAACCCTAAATAGGGGTTTGATGGTTTGGAAGCCTGCCGCGCACAACAAAGTCATCATGCATGCATGGTGTCGCGTGCGCATCTTTTGACATGGACATGTATATACATATTACATATGTAATATATATATATATATAGAGGGATGTGCCATATATATATATATATGTATATCATGTATATATACATATCAAACTCTGCACCCCATGGAAGCCCATAGGAACCAAGACAGGTATCTCTAGCAGGGAACAGGTTTTGGAAGATGCTGGGTTTCAGTCCTCTCCCTTCTCCGCACCCCGTCGACCCCAAACACGAAAAAGAAACCCTAAACTCGAAGCCCGAAACATCAAGGCTCCAGGGTTTAGGGTGTAGGGTTTCGGCTTTAGGGTTTAGGGTTTAGAGTTTAGGGTTTAGGGTTTAGGGTTTAGGGTTTAGGGCTGCGGGACCTCAATTGTCCGTAAGACTCCCAACAAGGAGACCCACTAAGGCCCTCGAGCAGTTCCGAAGAGGCCTTCTTGTGGGAGCTTCCCCCCTCTTCCCTGGGGTTAGGGTTTAGGGTTTAGGGTTGAGGGGTTTAGGGTTTAGGGTTTAGGGTTTAGGGCTGCGGGACCTCAATTGTCCGTAAGACTCCCAACAAGGAGACCCACTAAGGCCCTCGAGCAGTTCCGAAGAGGCCTTCTTGTGGGAGCTTCCCCCCTCTTCCCTGGGGTTAGGGTTTAGGGTTTAGGGTTGAGGGTTGAGGGTTTGGGGTTTAGGGTTTAGGGTTTAGGGTTTGTTGCGAAGCTGCTTGTGACCGCCGTCGCGCGCAGCAGGTTTAGGGATTAGGCTTCAGGAACCCCAAAAGCCTTAAACCGCAACGCTTGGAGACTCTCTAGCCAAGGAAGCACACTGGCAGCTGGACGGATGATTACCAGACTTGGTGGTGATCTGCGTGCCAGCCCTAAACCTTAAACCCTAAACCCTGAAATCCTCAACCCTAAACCCTAAACCTTAAACCCTAAACCCTAAACCCTAAACTCCAGCCCTAAACCCTCAACCCTACAGCCCTCAGCTCTGGGCCCAGCGCGCTTACCTCGCCCCTTGAGGGCCCTACTAAACAGAGAGGTCCTACCTTGAAGCCGAAGCAATACAGGGGCCTTAATAACTAGAACTTTAGGGTTTAGGGTTTAGGGTTTAGGGTTACAGGTTTTTTTGTTTTTTTTTTTTTTTTCATGCGCTCCTTTCTACATCAGCAGATCAGTTAATAATTAAAGCAGGGTATTTTGGGGGATATGATTGCAGCATCTGTACATTGGGACCATAAGGGAATACTATATGATTCGTAGTTGTTCCGACCCCTATGTTCTACCCCTTTTAGGTACAAGGACCCTTAGAGAGGGGGTCTCTGGGCAAGACCTGTTCAGTCCAGCATCCGCGATGCCAGGGCGAAGAAAAAGAAGGGGATGGCATGGGGGGGAGAACCCTAAACCCTAGGCCCTTACCCCAGGGTAGAGGCTTTATAGGGTTTAGGGTTCGTGGTTTCGGTTTAGTGTTCTAAACACCCTCTACCCTGAACCCTAAGCCCTAAACCCTAAATCCGAAAGGTAGAGCAAGAACACCCGACGCCCAAACGAGGTGCCAAGGTGCCTAGAGGTGCGAACTGCTCCGCGCCCTTCCGAAAGCCCGAACCTTAGACCCCCCCCCGAGCCCTGAACCCTGAGCCCTAAACTCTAAACCCTAAATCCTAAACCCTAAACCCTAAACCCTAAACCCTAAACCCTAAACCCCGAGCCCTGGACCTTTTGGCGCTTTTGGGTCTTCTCTGGAGCCCAAGAACCCCTCCTGAGACATCCCCTATACACCCCCATGCACATCCCCCGTTCGGCCCGTATTGGCCTAGAACCCTACCTCAAGGGTTTAGGGTTTAGGGATTGGGGGTGTAGGGTGGGGGGGCGTTTGGGTTCGGTTTGGTGCTGGAAGGGTTCAAGGTTGAGGGTTTAGGGCCTTTGGCCTATCGTTTAGGGCTTAGGGCACGAGTCTGGAGAGGTCATCGAGCGTCCGTGAAAGAGTCGCGAAGGCGGTTGTTCATGTCAACGCCGCCGAATTAAGGAACAGGGTTTAGGCTCCAGGGGCTTAGGGCTTTGGAGCTCGGAGAAGAACCCCTATCTCCGTCTTGTTGAACACGCATATTCCATACCCTAAGCCCTTAACCCTAAACCCCTTGGTTGCTTCCGGACGAAGCAGGGCTCACGCCGAATTAGTGTTTTATAGGGGTAGGTTTTGGTTTAGGGTTTAGGGTTTGGGTTTTAGGGTTTAGGGTTTAGGGTTTAGGGTTTAGAGTTTAGGGCAACCACCCATCTCATGGCTGCCAGCCCTGAAACCCCGCCAAAAGCCGACCCAGGCATGGCTGCCCCCTTCAACGCGGCGAAGCTGCCGGAGGCTTAGGGCACAGCTTGGGCGTTCAGGGTACTTAGTAGCCAAGTGTTCGCTGCACTGGTTTAGGGTTTAGGGTTTAGGGTTTAGGGTTTAGGCTTGAGGGTTGAGGGTTGAGGGGTTTAGGGTTTAGGGTTTAGGGTGTAGGGTTTAGGGTTCCCCAAGTATATCTGTACTTGTATCCCACATTATGACTATATTCGAGGAGCTTATAAGTGGGTTCTCAGTACAGTTATCACTGGTTCTATTAGGGCGCCAGACCTCCCTGGATGGCAGGGGGGGGGGGATTAAGGGCGCGAGGAGTTGGGGGTTTAAGGGTTTAAGGGTTTAGGGTTGAGGGGTTTGTGGTTCGATTGCGGCCAAAATCCGAAGATTGCGGCCAAAATCCGAAGATGCACACGCGAATTCTGCACAGGTCTGCAACTCAAGGGATGCGGAAGGCGAACTCGTCGCCGGAAGAAAAAAGTGCCTGAGCTCTGCTCTCGGCTCACATCTGCCCTAAACCCTAAACCCTCAACCCTAAACCCTAAACCCTAAACCCTCTCAGGTATCAGCAGAAAGATGCCGAACACTCCATCGTCGTGCTGGAGTGGCTGAAGGCCTTTTCGTATGCTCGGGGCTCTTGGGATTTTTTGGCTTCATAGGGTTTATAGGGCAGAATGCTCAACCCTAAACCCCAAACCCTAAACCCTAAGGGCTGGTAGGCTTTGTGGAGCTTTAGGGTTTAGGGTTTAGGGTTTAGGGTTTAGGGTTTAGGGTTTAGGGTTTAGGGTTTAGGGCTACAGGATCAGTAGACTGCAGCCCCGAGCCCTACCCCGGATGGAAGCCCCACTTGTCAGCTTGAGGGTTTGTGAGGGGGTTGGTTTGGGTTTCGGGTTTAGGGTTTAGGGTTTAGGGTTTAGGGTTTCGGGTTTAGAAGTTTAGGGTTCAGAGGTTCGGGGCTTACGGGCTGAAAGCAAATAGCATCATTTAGGAAAAAAAGGCAAAGGGCGAGTGGAGGGAGGATTGAGGCTCGAGGGTGGACCAAATCGCTAAGCCGTTTTCTGAGCCGCTAGACTTCGCCCCTGGGGAAGTGATAACCCTAAACCCTAAACCCTAAACCCTAAACCCTAAACCCTGAACTACATGCTACACTCTACACCCTTAGTTTTTGTCCAACCGGATCGGATTGTATGAGATTTCATAGGACCTCAACTGACATCCTCGAAGCTTTGTCACAAATTTTCAGCCCTGCGACCTCGGCTTTAGGGTTTAGGGTTTAGGGCTCAGGGCCCAACAGTACAAATGGTACCCACTCTGCGGTCTAGTACCCCTTATGCCCTTTTTGTTTTTGCGGGGGGGGGGGGGGGGTTCTTAGTAGTTTTTTTTAACTTAACTGTCTGAACAGTAGAAGAAAAGGGTACCCTTATTATTCAGTAAGTTGCTGGCGGAACCTTGTAGAGCTCCTTGAAGCCCCCGGCCCGGCGTGCTGAGCGCTAGAGCCCTAGCCTAAACTCAAGGGACTCGACCTTGAACCCCTATAAGGTGGGCTTCGGTTTCGGGACCCTTTTGTCAAAGATCCCTATGGTATTATAAGAGCGATCTTCGGAGTAGAAGAAGCAGAGCCGTAAGGGGGTACAACCTTAGGGATAAGGAGCCCTTGTCCCGCGAGAGTCCCCAAACTCTAAGCCCTGAGCCCCTTGCCCCTGATCAGCAGGCAAGACCCTGAAGTGCCTTAATATGGTTATTATTGGGGTCACGAGTACAGTTATGATTGCTTCATAAGTACCCTAAACCTCCAAGTAGGGCTCCTGGAAACCTATGAAAGTGCCGCAGCTGTAGAAGTCAAGACATGAATATGCACCCCCCCCCCCCCCTTTCATACAAACAGCGCGATAGCTCGGACCCAGAGTAGGCCCTGCTTCCCCCTTTTCTTAGGGTTTCGGTTCCCTTAAAACCCCCGTTAAACCAAAAAGAGCACCGTGTGTAAGTGTAGGGAGTTTAGCCTCGCAACTTTGTTACCAACACTAGACTGCATAGCAGAGGCCGAGATGCGCAGGGAGTCATGGAGTCTTATTAAGATCCCCCAGAATGGGTTTAGGGGTTTGGGGTTTAGGGTTTAGGGCTAGGGTTTAGGGTTTAGGGTTCGGGGTTCAGGGTTTAGGGTTTAGAGCCCGCAGCAGCGTGGCCCGCACAACATGTGGTTCTTCCGCGCAGCCTGCGCCATCAGCGCCTTGCTTTGTTTCGCGCAGCCCGGCGAAGAACCTAACCCCTAACCCCTAAACCCCTAAACCCCTAAACCCCTAAACCCCTAAACCCCTAAACCCCTAAACCCCTAAACCCCTAAACCCCTAAACCCCTAAACCCCTAAACCCCTAAACCCCTAAACCCCTAAACCCCTAAACCCCTACACCCCTAAACCCCTAAACCCCTAAACCCCAAAACCCCAAAACCCTAAACCCTAAACCCTAAACCCTAAACCCTAAACCCTACCCCTAAACCCCAAACCCGAAACCCGAAACCCGAAACCCCAACCCCAAACCCCAAACCCTAAACCCCAAACCCCAAACCCCAAGCCCCAAACCCCAAACCCCAAACCCTAAACCCTAAACCCTAACCCCTGAACTCTAAACCCTAAACCCTAAACCCTAAACCCTAAACCCTAAACCCTAAACCCTAAACCCTAAACCCTAAACTGAGTGAGCCCGGGGCCGTCGAGCAGGGCGAACGCACCGAAGCCGGCAGGCGAGGTAGCTCCGGAACCAGAAGCCCTCCGGCGGGCGACGGAGCTCCAGTCCCGCAGGCAGGTGCGCGGTGGGCCCGGGCGAGAAACCCGTCAGGTCGCCCCGAGAAGATATCCCAAACCTTCGGGCAAAGCATGGCAACCTCCTTTTGGGAGGTCTCGCGGGCCTTTCCCAGAGGAGCCTTACCTCCGCAGAGGCTTTTAGGCACCTTGCGTGGGACGCCCCCTGCCTGGGAGTGGGAGGGCCCTGGTTGGGACCTGCCTAGGACGCGAAGTCAACGTTGGCAGACCACAACTCCGCCAAGGCCTGGCTTGGAAGCGTGTGACAACAGAGACAGTGAACCTAATCTGACATCCGACACGAAACCTCTCTGCAGGCCATTCCAGATGCAGCATCAGCGAGGGCAAAGGCGGCAGCAACCCCCATCCCAAACCTCTCACTTCAGGCCCTTCCATGAAGTCTTCCAAATCCCCAACAAGGACGCAGCGTCGCCAAGGGCGAAAGCGGCAGCCAACCCCAAGCCCAAACTTCTGACTTTTTGGCCCTCCCACAAGCCCTCAAATGATAGACATCAGCCCTTGCAACGCCAAGGGGCTGCGAACCTCAGGGGAATTGATCTGCATCGATGCCGAGCTTCTAAACCCAATAGGCAAGAGAAAAATAACCATCAGAGTTCAAAAGAACCCTAAACCCGTAAAGGTTAAGGCGAGGGTGGAGTGCCAGCGGGGGTGGGCTGACGCAAGTCGGGGCGCGCTCCTGTGTGCTTTCAGCACCAGCGCGCCCACTCATGG